GGCATAGACAATGTTGGGGAAAGATCGAAGAAAGGTAAAGTTTGAACACACATTTTTTTTTCTTTTTTAAAAAAAAAAACCAATATTAACGCTCCGTTTTCAAGTATGGTATTAATTTTCATTGTTATAGTATTCATAGTATTCAAAGGCGTCCAGTATGTCACTGTCAATCAGGGCATGGCAATAGTAAGGATATGATGGTTGAATTAGTATAGCCTAAAAAATGAATACTCAGATGTCGTGTTATCTAATGAATTATATTACAACCGCAAAAATGCATACGCTGGTCAATGCGTTGACGGTCGCATTTCTATATTTTACAGGGTTGACCGGAGATCGGAAGTAAACCGCGTAACGTGCGTGTACCGTAACTATACGATCTCTATGGGCACTTGACCGCGGTGTAATGTACCTATGTATGTAATAAACTCGTAAACAATACGTGTATAATGTGTATGCACTACAACCGCCGAGAAACGTGATCGAATTTATTTCGTGTACATTATATTTATACTATAAAGTGCGCATGTGTGGTGTGGGGTTATGGTAATACACAAGTATAAATCATGCGTTGTTATTTATTATTATTATTATTATATTACGTTGTACACACGTGTACTCGGTGAACGGTACGCGGGGGTACATCACACCTTTTTTTTCTTTTAGGGTAGCGATGGAGAGAAATAAAAAAAAAAACAAAAAAGAAAAGAAAACACTCTCGTGACGATAACGTTATTATCGTTGGTCAGTGCGGTTTACCGTAATCATGCGTATTATGCTGTAACTATACATTATATTTATGAACTGGTCCGAACCACGAATTATGTACGTGTAGGCATAAAAGTATTATTCGAGAAGTAAACGGGTTATTGGTGTACCGCACCGCACACGCACACGCATAGCACATCGATTCGTAATAATAATACGTATTCACGGACGACATTGTTGTGCGCACGCACATACGTATTACAATAATAATATTATGTTACGTTTGTACGAGCTCGATCCGCAGAATAAACGAGCCGGTACGATTTACGACCGCGCGCGCGCGTGTCCGACGTGTTGTTTGTCGTGCCCAGAGCCCGCCGCCGTGGTACGTGGCTCAAGTGGACCGTAGACGACGACGTGCGCCTGATTTCCGGACCACGACCGCGGTCGAGGTATCGTTGTGTCCTCTGCCCACACGCGAGGTTGCGCCCACCGTACACACAGATCTTCGTCAATGAGATCGCGTTGTACATTTTTACGGTTTTATTCGTAAATCCAAATTAGGATCATCTTTTTTTTTCAATACACATATATTCTTAAGTTATTGCACGTGCAAGTAAAAATTATCCCTCCTGTGGACCAGCGACGCTCGTGGAGAAGGGGGACAGTGACAGTGGCGTGCCCAGCAGGTTAGGGCCTGCCCAGTTTTCAAAGAGTTATTATTAATATTATAATTATTTACTTTATAATATCTTTAAATATTATTAACAAGTCGGACAGGAAAAATCATGTTATGTTAAATAATTATTTTTTCTAACTAAATTTAAAAATGTTATGAAAAGTTTACAAAAAAGAAATAATGTATACCCGTATAAGTTAAAATAATTATAACTGGACCTGTCCTACATTTTGATCCTGGGCATGTGAGTCCCATTGCCTCCCTGACATTTTTTATGTAATTTACTAAATAAGAAGTCTTTTTTTTACATACATTTGATCTCGACTCAAATCAGGATTTAAGCAAATGTTCGCTTTTCTCCCCCCTCCGAGCTACATTTCTGCGGGCATCCCTGGTCTAAACAACTAGACATGTTATGCATTTAAACCACACCATACGCTTCTACGAAAACGCGATGCTCTGGTTTTCCTGTACGATGTAGTTTAACGTCAGCGTTTGCGATGATCAATAGACGGCGATTAACGTGTTCTGTTCGGTCGTTCCTGTCCAACACCCGGACAACCCGGAAATCCGTCTCTGTTGTATCTAAATGACAATTTATTTCATTTTATACACCCGTACTTTTAGAAATGGAAAATATGTTATAATAATATTAAATAATATTATATGATTGTATTTCGCCTTATTCGAAAACGTCAATTTTCAAGTATAGGAACCAATCAACACAGATGTCACTGCCAAAACATACCTGAATCCGCCTCTACGTCATAAGTATAATATATGGCCTTTTGGTATATATAGTCTATAGTCATGTCTATAGTCATGATTAGGGCTCGTAAGTTCACGCCCTAAAAAACGCATAAATAAGCGTGGAATAATGCACTTAAACTTGGTAAAATATGCATTCAAATATGCATTTTTATGCATTAAAAATCTTAAATTGTGCACAAAAAAAAAAATGTTGCGACTATTCATGTAATATGTTGTGAGGAAAATAAATTGTTAGATTGCAATGAGCACGTCAATAGGAGGAGGGTGGTAGCTATGCACAATAACATTGTTTCCGTGGTATTATTTTTAACTTATAAAACCCAGTGTCAAAGAAAAAGAAAAATAACTGATAAAATACTAAAATGTTGTTAATATGTTCGGAAGAGTATAAGGGTCCGAACGCACTGCGGTATTTTCGCCGTCGGGTCCAAATGGTTTTACCGTTCGCGGATTTTACGACCCGCACCGCACTGCGATTTTTTACCGCTAATACAATAGGTGTTATCACTCAATTTTCCCGCCTAAACTGGCTAAATATCAATTTCTAATTTCCATAAGAAAATTGAATATTGATAGTTGATAGTACAGTGGTTGGTTAACCAACTACTATGGTCTGTGATCTACTGTATTTACTATATTTCACTATATCTAATACTGTAAATTTAAATTTTTTATACCTACCTACCACGATTTGTACACAAACACCTAAATACATGTAAGTAAGTTATAAATTAAATTATTAGTTAATTCAATGCATAGTCCTACTTATTATATTACATTTAATTTATTTAGAATGGAGTTAGATGATTATGACAATTTATTTAAAGTGATTGCTGTCGCAGAAGCATTTGGTGAATTAGAAAAAAAATATAAGTATATGAAAAATTACAAAATTAACCGTTGACTATAGTCACAGTGGGTTCCTTTCCATCGAAACAATGTGTTTACTTTACGAACGGTACAACGGCAGCGCCGTCAAACCGCAGCATGTTGCGGCGACCGACGACGGAGAACGGCGAAACCGTCGAGTGCGGTGCAGTCCGTCTAAATATAGTAGTTTGGTGTGAACGTAAAAACCGTTCGGGTAAAACCGTTCGGACCCGACGGCGAAAATACCGCAGTGCGTTCGGACCCTAAGAATAAGAACAAGAATGAATTTAAGCATTTATTGATCTCATTTTTTTTTTAACTTCCACAAAAAACGATTTTGTCGAATTGTCATGAAATAATATCCGCTAATAACTCCAAAAAATCAACTATATGCCAAATATCCCAATGCACTCAAAACATACAAAAACATGCACTATTAAACTTTATATTTGTACTACCTTTGTAATGAAACGCATTTATATCTCACTTAGCATGTTCTCCTATGTAGCAAAAAAAAACATGCAAATGCATAAACTTGCGAGCCCTGGTCATGATCCTTAGTGCTAACGCGCGCGCACTGTATGGGAAACGTTAAAGCACCAACGAGTCTCAAAAAATGTCGCTAGCGACTGATATTAGCGCATTAGTATTAAAACGCAAAACCTCGAACAGACAATAATACTATGCAAACTGTCGAGGAGAATTCGAGTCGAACAATTATACGATGATTATAGTGCATGATACGATGGTGATAATAACATAATGATATGTAGTTACCACGTTACTAGCAGCCGCACGTTACCAATAAAATCTCGATGGCAATAGTCCAAGGGCGCGGGAAAATCAAAAGGAAATCGAATTATCCTTCGTCGATGATCGAGTAAAATGTTGTCTTTATTGTATTCATTATAGTTGTAACACTGTTGAATTTAGAATGTACAAACACGCTGTCGTGTTATTGTTAAGATTGGTATGCAAACGCAGCCACTAGACGTCGGTGTATTAGTCATTTTTATGTCCAATTTGATGATACCCCCGGTATTTCGTCGGCAGGGAACATTAATTATTAATGGTTTTCTTTTATCGAGTTGAATGCAAACGACGATTACAGCGACGTCTAGTGGTTGAGCCCATATAGACGCTTCGAATTCCAACGAAGTAATACGATGACGAATCCGTTTAATATAAAATAAACTGATATAGATTTCCCAATTGAACTAGACGAGATTTCACTACACTGCACCGGGGCGTATAATAATGACTGCGCATGATAAAAATAAAACTACGACGAGGAAGACAACAACATAAATATGATTATATACTCTGATCGCACGACGGCCTTAGTCGAAAACATCTCATGGCCATGAACAAATGAACGCAAGCGCAAACCCAATGGTGATACGCACGCACCATTCAGTCGAAAGCAGGCCTCAAGTGCGAGTTTGTACGATTAGTAATAATAATAATAAGCGGATCACACATATAATGTACCGATGTATATGTATTTATATTTTATACAAAAAAAAAAAAACATACATACTACATAAATTAATAATAATAATAAATTACGGAACGATAAAATAATATATTATGTATACAATACATAGCTAAAGTCGGTATAAACGAATTATCAGGAAACGTTTTGACCATATTTTTAGAAAAAAAATATCATAAAGTGCTATGCAACAGCAATCGATTTCAGAAATTGAATTCTACTAACTCTGCAGTAACGTTGATGAGATCATCTTTAAAGCACAGCATTACCGATTAAAGCTGCAAACATCTTAACCGAAACAAACACACACACACACAAATACATACATACATGCACATATACTCAAATATTATACGCAAAATAATACAAAAATAACGTGAAATAAAATCATGTATATACGTTTCTAAATAGTTCTAATAATAATAATAATAATAATCAATAGCAATAATAATAGTTAAATAGAGGAAATTATAAAAATAATAATAATAATAATAATAATAAAATGTCAAATTACAAAATCTTAAAACGTAATAATAAATCGTAGCTTTATACAGCGATAAGTACTACAATACATCATATTGATAAACGCCTAATATAATAAAAATATTCATATTTTAACAACTCGGTGAAAAAAAAACAAAAAAACAAAATGTTATACGGTGCCCGTACGTTGCATTATACAACGCGTAAAACATTTCATTCCGAAAGGGATTTGCGTGTAGTGTCGGTTACAAAACTAAATTACAATACATAATACCATTATGTGCGTTATGCGATGATGCCTCTGTACTACAACGCTTATAAAAACACGATAAAAATAAAAATAAAAAATCATTCACGTGAATTAGTGAAGTATCGAAATTATACGACCGTACAATAATGATATAAAGATCCACATCTCGCCGACAGATTGATTTATTTCCCCTTTAAAATAGGTATATTTTTATTTTTTTTGGTTAAGTAAAAAATGAACACCACCTTTGGCCACTGTTCACCACGGCCGCCACATTGGGTCACGTTGCGCTGCGGCCACGGCAGCGGCTGCGACGTCGTGCGAGTGCGGTGACGACGATGACGGACCGAAAGCGGGCCTCGTGGGTTTGGGCCGAACCACGGTGTGCGGACTACGGTTGGACGAGGTCAGAGCGACGGGTTTTTGCGGTGGTAAGGTGGCGTTGACCACGGTGGTCGGACACGACAACGCGGCAGCGGCTTCCGGAGGTGTGGGGGGCGGGTTGTTGGACGGTGGCGTGTGGCCGCGGGCCGCTGCTTCTCCGCCGTTGCTGTCGTCGCCACTGCCGTTGCTGCAAGCGTTGATCGATGCTGCGGCCACAGCGGCCGGCGAGACTGCTGCCATTTGAGCAGCCGCCGCGGGGGGTTTGTTGGTGGCCGTAACCTGAGACTCGAGCGCGCGCGACACCGATTTGGCCAGGTACTCCACAAGCCGTCGGCCCACCACCGAGTCCAGCCCCGGCAATGACAACAGGAAACTGCAAGCTTCGCTGGCGCAGTGACTGAATCCTTCCTGCGAAAACACACGCATCATTATAAACTCTGTTCTATGAAACCGTTTACGGTCAGCAGCGATTTAGTTTTTAGTTTTCGAACGAAACCATATAGGTTTTCTCGAAAACTTTGCGTTTCGTATTCATATCGATTCCTCGCTAACTTTTATCGCATACATCAATACACAGTTAAGGGCAGTGCACTTGAACGGTGTATAACGTTGGTATAAGGAGTTGACTACTGAAACTCCTATGCTGACTAGACCAGATTTTTTTAGTACAGGAAAGACAGGAGGATACATTTAAAGACTTTTACTGTGCAGTCCTTTTAGGAAGGATTTCTCACCTAAAAGTGAACACATGTAGAATACATAGGCTTCTTATTTTCTAGCTTCAATACTATATCAGCATAATATACATCAGAATACATAAATAATATTTATAACTGCATCAAGGGGATCAATATATTACGGAAGTAGGATTAATGCTCAATGACACTATATCAATTAATCATAAGAAGTAATTTGTTATGTTTTTTAAAAGTCTATTGTTATAGCCAATTAGCGAATTTACTGTTTAAAAATGGTATACTAAAAAATAATTACTTGATTTAAAATTGCAATGATAAATTATACAATTAATACAGGTCAGTGTAAAATCAAACTTAATCTTACTTTTTATTATAACGAGACAGTAGACAATCGATTACAATTGAAATTACGAAATCATTTTGAAAAAAATACACTTTTTTGATTTACAGTTATTTCATAAAATAAAAAAATATTATAACAAAATAGCAATTTGGTTTGGATACCCTTGGAGAGAGGGAGTAGATTATTCCATTGCCATCTTAAATTCATCACTGGTGTACCCTTCTGATCGGGACTCAGGTACGATATGATGACGGCCATAATCGTTTCGTTTATAAAAATTTCTCACGCGAAATATGCGGATGATTATCATCCTCTCCCTAGCTTCCTATACATTTAAACCACAGGTGGTCCTAGCGTGCACACACGACGGATCCCTATAATGCAATGTACAGCGGGTGTGTGCCTCTTGAGGAATTACTATTTTTCATGTGATAGAATCTGTTTACATATAAAACAAACAGTAGATCTATCCGTGCTAACACCCCGTGTACAGCTGGAAGGGTCCAGTAGTGCTGGTCCAATAACGTATTTGATTCCGATACACAATGCTTAGTTTTGAATGTGTATGTGCGAGAATAATAACTATAAATTTATATAGTATATACATACTTTTGAAAAATAATATTTAATTTTCTCTGACATTTTTAGAAAATTTAAAGGCCATGTCATTAATAATGTATTATATATAGGTACATTTTACTATGTTTATCACACTTCAAAAAAAGTATTACAATCTTATATTAATATTTATTATATTTACACTTTTTTTTTATAATTTTAATAGAAACTATTATTTCATGACATAAGATATTTGTCCAATTGTTTTTCATATTATATTATATTATTTTAATAAATTTAATGGGGTTTTTACGAATTACATGATTATTAAAACTAATTTTTATACAAGATTGATTATAACAATTACTTTCTACCTAATATATTATACACCTTTATTGTAAATTAAATGTATAAATATATTGAATGATATATAATTTGTTTTTAAATTGAATACATGCCGTCTAAATTAATACAAACTTGAGTTAAAGGAAATTTATACAATAGGACATTTGAAAATTCACCTAACCCAATATAACAAAGCCTGATATAAAATTATACTACCCTATTTGTTAATTAAATCACGCAAAAAAAAATAATATGTCAAATGAAAGTGAAATACATTTTTATATAATTTTTGTAATGTTTTTTCATTAAATAGTAGCATTGTATTTTGAGAAACAACTCATTACTATTGAAATGTAATAACACAACAACTTACTTGAAATTTATAGGCTTCTTCAACCGGATCTCTTTTGGTGATCTTTTGCAAATGCCTTACAGTAAATTCCAAAATATCTGCTTTTTCAAGTTTTTCGACATTTTCGCCTTCGGCCTATTAACGCATAGTCAGTTAGATAAATTAGAAAAATATGTGTAAGTACTAACCCACCTCCAAAGCCGAATACATCAAATCTTTCAACTCATCCAAACATCGATTAATACGAGCACGACGCTTTCGTTCTAATAATGGTTTTGTTATCTGTTAAAAAAAAATTATACATCAATTATTGCATATGAAACCCATGGTGCTTTTTTTTTTTGAAAAAATCGTTATAAAACGATAAAAATAAATTTTCTTAAGCATTTCAGTTACTGTAAAACATAAGTGTTAAAAAAAGTACACTCACTAACAAATTCTCAACTAAAAATGTAATATTAAAAACTACACACTACATTATCTAATATTAAAATTCACACAGAGAAGTCTTAATAATACCGAAATATTCTAATGTCAAAATCAACCAAACCAACGTAAGGTAATTTAAATTAAAATAAACCTTTTTTTCACTAATTTCCAAGTTCAAACAAAATAATTCATAATATTTGTGCTATTATCCTGGAACAATCACATTATTTATTACATTAAGATAATATGTTATTGTTCTCTAAATAATGAAGACCGCATGCACTCGAGTTAAATGGAAGTTGAGTGCATGTGGTCTTCATTTTTTTAAATTAGTTATATTAGCTATATTTTTCGAGTTTTTACCATTTTTACCGGCGGACTATCGTTCAATCGTCTACGTAAAGTGCTTTAAACTCTAATCTACTTTACTCCAATAACGAAATCTATGATAAATCCTACAAATAGTCATTATTCCTGTAATCCTGCGGTAATTGAACATTTTTGTCCCTCGGCCTCTTTTCACGACTGTTCCTGTAGATTATATGATGTTATATTTTTCACGGAAAACATAAACAAATAAAATACTATCTCGGACACAAACGTAAATTTTCGATCGGAAAAACAACGCACACCAAGTATCAAGGAAAACGGTTATAAAATTCGTAATCGCTCTGTATCATTCCCAACCATCACTCCTCGTTCAGCGACAGAACATACATATGCAGTGACGTAACTGGGAAAAACCTAAGGGAAGGCAATATAATATATTTATTATTACCAAAACTCTGACACCCCTCGCCCTCCCCAGTTAAAACATATTTTTATTGTATGTATTTTATACTCTATATCTAATTGTTTGATTTTACATAAGTCTTTTAACTCATTTTATGGTTTAGATAAACATAAATTGTAGGTAGCATGTACTAGGTACCAATATTGTTAAATAATAACCATAAGAGTTCATTAATAAAAGATGCTATTTGTACTGTTGGATTATCTGGGGGGGGGCAAAATTATACCTTTATCTCTCAAAAAAATGGTCAGAGGAGGCACTTGTCCCCCATAATTACGCCATTGTACATATGTAATACGCAGACAACAAAAAATTGCTTACCTTTCTATACGCGACGGTGCGAGAAATCGGCGACGGCGTAGGAGAAAACATATCAGTGGGAGCGAGATCGGATAGAAATAAAATCGCAAACGGCACTGCGGGTCGATCGAAAACGAAAAAACGTAACGAAACCTCTTGACCGAGAACACGACGAAACGTGTTATGCACACTGTGTCTGCACGTCGCGCACGCGAAATGCTCGCCAGCTGACGGTGGGTAACGGACTGAAGCGGCGGTGGCGATGCCTGTTGCACGACCGCGCCGCCGCCGACGCCGCCGCCGCCGCTACCGCCTCTTTCACAGCATCGACATCCCCTCGAGACCTCCCGGTCAGACCGGAGGGATGCGTTTCGGCGCGCGCGCGTTTATGGTAGCGTACCCTCGGAGCTCGTGCACGCGGAACAACCCCCCGCCGTATCGGGAGCGAGCGAGAAAACGAAACAGAGACTCGCGTCGGTTTCCCACGGACCGTTCAACCCCGTGCGCGCAAGCGTAATTATTTTATTATTCCGTACACAGCACATGCGTTCGTGCATTGTTACGCACTCGTTCCCTCCATCCCCCCCCCCCCCTTTCCATCGGTTGAACGTTGTAGCACGTACACCGGATTCGTGTTGCGAGATTCTCCCAACCCGTTGGTAGGAGGACTACCCGAATTATGACGATCGTCTATGATGGTAATAGTAAAAATGATAACGTCGGAAAACGCCTGGATGTCAGAATTGGAAATACAGGACAAAAAAAAATACACCGACATGAACGAATGTATGTGTAATGTGTAACGTGTACGAATGTATAATGATGCTAAGTGTCTCGTGTGACACATGTTTTATATAATGGCAGTAGTTTTGCTCTATGGTCCAAAAGTACTACCGCTAGTGATTGTTCCAAGGATGACCATAATAATCTCTCCCTTAAAAATAAATACGCCAAAGATATTTCATCTACAAGTTATAATAGTTTGAAATTACTATACATAAACCATTGATAACCCTCTCTCGCAACATAAAGTCTACTATTAATACACTATCCAGTCCCGTAACCCGTGATCAGTTCTTTACATTCAGTATGTTGTAATCTTACTGGCGTATGAAAAACAATTATGCATTACAAACACTCGATTTTACCTAATATAATGTTATATTATTCCGTGTGCGTATGCGGTTGGGATTAGTCTATTATAATTAAAATCTAAAATTTGTTAACTCGTTGGATATGATGTATCGTGTAAGGAGGAGTTAGATGTACAATACGTATCAGGACACGGCAGGAAAAATCTTTAAACTTTGTTTTTTCTAAAAGTATATTATGAACACTATATTTATAATATAAATGGTAGATGTATTATGTTTCATAGAAAATTTCATGTATTTAACAGAATCAAAATAATTATTATAACTATCTCGTATTTATTTTTTCCAACATTATGGTATGATTACATTGAATTAAACTAGGAATTTTTTTCCTAGTAGCTGCACATATTTTGTATTATACTGGAATAAAAAATATTCGTGTATTATAGGATAGAATCACTGTAGATTTGCAAATGTATATAGTAGGTCGAAAAAAATTTGAACGCTTGAAACTCACAAAAAAAAAATGAAGTTATAATTTGTCACCATTGAAACGATAATATTTTTCGGTGACCATATAACATAAATTAATTTAAAAAAAAACAGCTATAAAAAAGTCAACTAATTACAATTGGGCAATTCTTTGAGGGCTATACATAAATCTAAGTGAATTATTTAAAATTTTGGACGATTTAAATCTGTGATAGTTATTCGTTTTGACTTAATATGTATCTAATACCAATTTATATTTGAATAAAAACAAAAAAAAAAAAATAATAATACAAATAATTATTGTATACATACTTACATATTTGTTCATTGATAATAATTTAAATTATTTTATAATCTTGTATAATTTGGTTATTTGATTTTGAAATATTGATTATTTTTCGATTGATTATTATTTTCCATATTTAGTTTCCATGTTCTGGTGTAAATGTACTGTTTTTTATGCTAAATGTTTTCGTATTTTTAAGTCAAAGGTTTTTATTCGTGTAGTAGTAGTGTCTGAATAAAATTGTTTATTTTACATGGGAATGATTTCATGCAAACGATCCAAATCAGAGGTATCACGTTAAAGACAACGGACAACGTATCAATTCTGCTCAACTATTTGTCGACATACAACATATGTTCAATTGATATGTACTTAAAACACAATATTAAAATACTTTATATTGACATTTAAATGGGTGTAGTAGATTGTCGGTAATCCGCACTGACGACTGATTAAAACCACTAAGGAAGTTAAGGATAATGGAATTTAGTAAGAATTCGAAAAATAGTTAAAAATCCATTAAAGGTAATTAATTTTCATGTGTTACCTACTAAAAGAATCCGTGTGTGTTTTCAAAACATTTTAGAACATTTAAGAACATTGTCTAAGTGAAAAAATATAAATGTTTATTGATATAAAAATATTAAATACCTAATGATAAATTTTTAATTCGAATCCGATTGGATGTTAGATGTTGATAGGAGCAACACTAAATCTATTTGTACCAAGACTTTCATAACTTAAAGGATCTTAAGTTAACATAGATTTTGATTTTTCTAGACGTTGGAAAAAACTGAACCATAATTTTGTGTCATATAGCTCGAATTATTAAAAATCATACGGAACATCACTTGTTTTTTTATGCAATGTTTTGTCATTGATTTCCAATACATTTATCTAAAATATCGATCCAAACGAACAAGACCGTGACGGTCAAATTACTAAACTCTAATTAAGAGTAAGCTGTAAGAATCAAAATCTATTCAATAATTAAAATAACATTTTTAATATATCATTTATAATATTCAAATATCAATTAAGATAAGAATCTTTGTACAGCCTTACACAAATAGTATTATGTTGATAATTTTTGAAACAGATATAAGAGATTAAATAAAATTAACATAGTGATTATAATTTATAGCTTTGTTTTTATATTTTATGGAAATGTGACGGAACAGTAAGTAATATATACAATATGAAAAATATTTTCTGGGACCGGAGTAAATTCGAGAAAATATCATACACTAGAATATATTCTCCTAGAGTAATCTTTATTGTAACGAGTACATTCTAGTAAAATTAATAGAACTATTATTTTATAAACATTTTAGTTTTATAGAGGATTAAACTTTTGGCCTAGTTTCGTCTATGGAAAACCATGATATAATAATCAGTTTTTATTGCTGTGCTCTCTCAGGGGAAACATATTGTTACAAGTAGTTACGTTTTTATTTCGATAAAAATATTTTCGTACAGAACCGATTTTTAATACCAACCATTTTTTTTCTTCGTCCAATTAATTTAAAGATTAGTTGTGATGCATATATCTGTATACACAGACAAGAAGTTCCCTGCTTCACGCGATCGACTTTTTATATCTCATCTATCAACCGACTCTTTTATTTAATATTGATAACTGAAATTATACTTTTAGATTTAAAAAAGAAACGACTTGTTTCTAACCTACCTATATCTATGTATATTTAACAGTTAATATGTTTATTATACATAATTATATTATAGTATATAGCATGGGAATCACCAATAAAATTTAATTCAAGTGCAATAAACTAATTAACATGTAAAATGTAAATCGTATTCAAATCTACTTGGCAGTGTTATTATCATATATATGTATAGTGTTATTTTATTCGATAGTTTGCGTGGTATCTTGTTATATATATATAAGTATATTCTACGGTTGCATAAACGCATAAAAATTGTTCAATAACAATAATATCTTTGGATTAGAGCGTTGTTTAAGAGTACGATTAATAAAAATAACGAAACATTCAAATATTTTGTAATATATAATTATATTATGATAATTTATATTATGTATAATATATTATGATGGGCAAACGTTTTTATTGTCTGATATGACACATATAAAGGTAGGTTCATAAACAGGCACGGATTTAAAACAATAATTGGGACGAGGGTTATTTTTTTGAAAAGACAAAAGGAGAATACACAAATAAAAAAATAATAAAAGTAAATGATTAATTAAAATAAGAATTTTGATATTAACTGTTAATTTTTAAAATCAAATGACGAAGTTTAATATTCTTTTTTTTACATTTATTGCGTATAATTATTAATAAACAAACACGAAAAACCTAATCTTGATTGTTTTTAGAGGGGTGGGATAATGACCCTTATGATTCTCTCCTCCTAAATCCGCATCAGTGCATAAAATATAAGCTTTATCAAAATAAATCTCGAGGTAAAAGAAAGAATCAAACACATTATCAGGATAAAAATGAAATATAGTGCTGTCCGTACATCGATAGTCATGTAAAATATACTAACGAACCTTTGAGGATAAATCGTGTTGTTTGTCAGAATAAATCGTTACGTAACGATATATAGTTGACGACTTACGCGGCGTATAATCCGCGCACAGCGGTAGTACATATCGTGAGCAGCGTTTACCTTGTTAAGAACTTTTTCATTCGAACGGTGTTTTCTTTTCAAAGCTTTGTCGGAAATGAAATTGACCGAATCGATTTCACGCCGTAACGAATCGGTCGCATTCGCACGTTATAATATATGAGACTGTTCGACGCGTAGGCGTGCGTAAGATAGGCGAAAATAGGCTGCAGATATTAAAATAATATTATGTGCAGTAGTAGTGGGTCGGCTATGGTATCGAAAATAAGTCTCGTCCGGCGGAAGTGGTCTGAACAAATCGTAAGAGATATAAAAAAAAATGGACAAAATGGAAGAAAAAATTCGGAATATATTTTACGAACGTTTTTAAACGCTGTACACCGCACCGCCACGCGTATAATACGTCAAGGCGACACTTTACTGGAATCGATCGGCGGCGGCGGCGGTGAAATAATAAAGAGTAAAAAAAAAAAAAAAAGTAAAGCGGCACATTTATACGTATATACGTGTATATAATACGATATGGCGATGAGACGAGACAAACAGTGGGAAAAACCGAGAGAATAGAGCCCGTGAATTCGGTTTCCTCGACCCACCCCCTCTCGGCGGTACATAATGACGTGGTCGAAGGGGACGCGCGCGCGCGCTCGCGAAGGACACGGTCAAACGAACTACATCGCCGCGCGGAATTATATCGGCATTATCCGGTAACGTACCCGAAGCCGCCGCGGTCAGATACTCCACGGCGTACAATGTGTATATCTATGTACAATAATAACAATAATAATAATAATAACAGAACGATACAGTACAATGGTGTACGGGCGGCCGTCACAAATCGCGCGTCCATTCATCCGTCGTCGTTGTCGTCGCGCGGTGCGGCGAGAAAAAATAATCGTCCGAACGAAAAGAAAAACGACCGCGTACGCTGTCGTCTTCGGCG